GCCCGGCAACAGAGTGAGACTCTGTCTCAAAAAAAAACACAAAAAACAGTACAAGAAGTAATGTTACTGCTGCTTTGAAAAAGCCAAATATATATATATATATATATATATATATATATATATGGAGAGAAAGTGTGAGAGCAAGTGTGTACACATAGCATGTGAAGCCTTTGAGGGAAAGGTAGCAATTTTTAAATACAGATTTACTAGTTTATATGTAATCTCCAACCCGGTAAGGAAAACAAAGATAATTCTGGATCAAGATTTGAGCGATATACATTTATGTTCCTTTCCTATTGCTTTCCTATTTCTTTGTCAGGTCATTTCTACTCTCAGGACATATATAAAATGGTGGGGGTGTGGGAGGTATAGGTGACATCGTTGATAAAGTTCCTTTTAGCTCAAATATTCTATGAATCGATGAATGATATTATATATTCTGACATTATATATTTATGTCAAACAGCTTTCTTAAGAAGCCGGGACCGGTCACATCAAAAATTCTATAACATGATGACCAAAACACAAATGTTTATTCGCTTCATTGAAGAATGTTCTTTTGTCAGTGATAAAGATGCAAGCCTGGCATTTTTTGATGATTGTGTAGATAAGGTAAGTAACAATATGTCTTCAATGCCCTAACTTATTTTGTGTGAGTGCTATAAATGTTAAGAGTTCCTATTTATAGCTTTTAACAAAATTAAATTAATTCAGTTTTTATCACTGACCATTCATAATGCAAGTTTTGGTGGCCTGCTTGAAATTATAGGGCACACCTTTTACAGATACCTTGCAGGGTTTTACTAAATCATGAGTTTTAACAGTCAGGTCCCTGACCCTATCTATTCACTTATTGACTAGAAATTTTTTTAAGGCTATGGACCTCCAACTTGAACATCCTTAATTTTCACCTCTTCTTTTTGACTAAGGTGGCTTGTCATATGCTGAGAATAGGTATAAAGCATAATAGATATCTCATCTGAATATTTCTACAATTGGGAGTGAGTTTCTAGTTTAAATTAATTAGTTTTACTATTTTAAATTTATGTATGAAACTTTCCCCTTCTCCTTCATCCTAATATCATTAAATGGGACAGAGCAAGGTAGGTATCCACACTGGAGAGAGATAGGAGGTGGGGGAACAGTGGTCCAAAGTGAGGTGTCAAAACCTGACTCTGTCAAGGAAGGAGGAGCAATCTAGCATAGGGTATAAGAGTCCAAGCCAAGTGAAGAGAGTATCCATGCAGAGACATGGTCTAGCATAGAGAATCAGAGGACAAGCAATCTAAAGAGGGTGTTCGGGGCAGGCTGCTGCACAATGTCAGAACCTAAACAGAATGAGAAGAGCATTCATACAGAAGCAAGGACAGCATGGAGTGTCAGAGTTGGAGCAGGGTGAGGAGAGTGTCCTCACAGGGTGGAGATGGGTAGGATGTCAGAGTTTTATCTGGATGAGAGAGGTGCTAGCATGGGTGGGGGTGGCCTTTGATCTGGAGAGGCTTGTCAAAACCAAATTAAAGTGAAGAAGTATTTTGTGTGGGAGAAGGGTGGTGGTAAAGATGGGAGAATGTTACAGTGGGGGGAGGCTCAATCAAATAAGTATATTAAAGATAACGAAGTTTCTTTCTTACTGTCAGAGAAGGGATTTACAAATACAGAAGTGGCGAAAACTAGAATGAACCCTCTAGTGTTCAGTGGAATTGGAGATTTGGTGTGGTATCATTGGTTTTCAATGATAGATGCAGAAATAAGTATAGATATATGTGTCCACACATATATACACATGTATCCCTCACTTCTGTACATTAAGAGGATCTGGGAGCAGCCGCACACAATAGCAGTGAGTTCACCTAATGCATAGGTTTTGGCTTCTATATAAGTACCGCGCGCTAACCGATTGCGCAACTGGAGCTTATGTTTTGGCTTCTAAATACCATTCTCTACAAAAAAGAATCAGGACTCCTTGGAAAAATAACTGGTTCCAGGTCTAGGGCAAGGAAAGTATAAGATGATCCTCAAAGTATCTTGTACTAGAAAAGAAGGAATTGCTCCAAGAGTGATGGAGACATGTTAAAACAAAACAACACACACACACACACACACACACGCCAATTTGAAGGGATTTCCCACAGGCAAGTCTGGGGCAATTTAAGCATCAAATGTTAGTAACAGATTAAGCCATTGAATAACATAAGAAACCATGGGTCTACATAGATATCAATCAGTCAATTTAAAGTCTATAATAAGAAGCAGGATCTTACATAGTTTCTAAGTACCTCCCAACAAAATATGTATTAATGAGAAAGGGAGAAAGAGTAACTTTATAATGAAAAATCTTGGCAGATACCACTTTAATCAAGTGAATTAAGTGAACAAACATCATATATAATGGGACAGATCAAGATTGTGTGCCCCTAATAGGATACAATGAGAAGACAACGTCGATTCTCTAATATTCCTGCCAAAGATGCATAACTTGTAAAATTTCAAGGAAATATCAGAGAAACACACATTGAAGAACATGATAATCCACAAAATGACAAGGTTAAGGAAAGAAAGTAAAAATCGAGAAACTGTTCTAAAGTGAAGTAAAAAGATTTGACAACCAAATGCAATGCATAGTTCAGAACTGGATCCTTTTGGTGTAACGTTACTAGGTTAATCAACAAAACTTGTGGTTTGAAGATTTTGTAATAGTAATCCTAATTGTAGTTATATAGGAGAATGTCCTTGTTTGTAGAAGTACATATTAAAGTATTCAGAGGTGATGGGTCATCAGGTCAGAAGCTTACTCTCAAAGATCAAGGGAGAAGTTATTTGTACTATACTTGAAGCTTTTTTATAAATTTGTGATTATTTGAATATATATATAATGTCTATGATCTTATGCCTATGAAAAAGGAAGAAAACAAAGCTTTATCACATATTATCTCAATTTACTATTGTAAAGTTATTTAAAGAAGTCTGTCACTTTCAAATTTATGTGAAAGAAAATCAGTGATTTTTTTTGGGGGGGCACAACAGTCAAAATACAACTCATCCCTCAATATTCAGAAATTGGCTCAATTCTCAGTTTAACATAAAAGTGTCCTTTATTGATTGATAATAAGTACCAAATGTGACTTATGCTTATGCATGGTATAATAGGAAAAACACTGCATTGGGAATCAGTAGTACTCTTTTTCTTTTTTTCTGCAATGACTGACAACTGAATCAGTAGTACTTTAATCTCAGCTGTTATATCTGCAACTGTAGTCATTTGGTCTTTATTTTGAGCCAGGGTCTCACTCTGTTGCCTAGGCTAGAGTGCAGTGGCATCATCATAGCTCAATGCAACTTCAAACTCCTGGGCTCAAGTGATCCTCCTGCCTCAGCCTCCTGAGTAGCTAGTACTAAAGCTGCATGCCACCAAACCCAACTAATTTTTTTTTTTTAATTTTTTGAGACAAAGTCTCGCTGTTGCCCAGGCTGGTCTTGTATTGGCCTCAAGTGATCCTCCTTCCTTGGCCTCCCAAAGTACTCGGATTACAGGCATGAGCTACTGCACCCTGCCTAGTCTTTCTTGTATTCTTTTCTTCTCTATGTTTAAAAAATATTGTGAGGAGAAATAATTATAACTGCATATCTATGGTATTCAGAGTATTGTATAAAACTAAAAAGTAGAAAATGTGGCTATTTTTATATTTGGCTGGGTTTTATTCAAGCTTATAGATTAATAGTTCATTTGGTTTTATCACTTCATGACATATAAATGTTCAGTTTTTGAATGACTTACACATATAAACAGTAGGAACCAGTTCAGAGCCTTGAAGAAATCTACCTTTTCCTTCAGTTTAGAACTCTTGAGGGATGGTTAATGTTGTAGAGAAATACTGTTTCTGGGGCTGATAGAGAATTAAAAAGCTAAGGCGTTCAGAAACATCAGCCCTCATCTTTGAAATGCTTTGAAGTAAGGAAAAGATGAGTACATGCCATTACCTGCTTAGAACTCATGATTCATTTTCCCAAAGAAATATTGATATAAATGGTGATTATCTGTAGTTCAAATGTATAGAAACCCAGTGTTGTACTAGAAATGTGTTTTAATGTTTTATATGTGGAATGATATGCTAACTTTTTAGGATATTTTTAAAATAAAATTTATTAAGTTACAATTTAGAAACAGTAAATACATCATTGATGTGTACAGCTTTGATGACTTTTGAACAACTATATATTTCCACGTAACTATGACTTCCAAATATAGAAGATGTTCATCATCCCAGGAAGGACATGTTTTGGAGGAAGATTTATTTCTATAGCTTGAATAACCTCTCTACAAACAGAATTGTAGAACACTGCATTTTTAAAATTGAGTTCTGTTTCTGTAGAGGCAACCTTTGAAAACCTGTTTATTTTGAGAAGGAGATAATATTATAGCTCCTTGATAGTTTTGCCTTTATTACGGCATTATACTCAGAAATTGTTTTCTAATATTTTAATCAAATTTTTAAGCTTGACTAATTTGGTGCTAATAACGTTAAATACTGACAATAAATAGAAAGGTGTGCTTTTTAAAGGAATAAGTTTCTAAATCATTTTTTACAGTAACAGTTGTGTTAGTTTTTTGTATATAAAAATGATATTTCTGACTGGCATTGTAAACTTTGAATGATTTTTCTCATATGGTGCTATCTTCCACTGGTTATACATATATACTCACTGAGCTTTCCTTATGAAGAGTGGCATACATTTGTGTAGCAGTTGTTCCATGTACCAACCTAACTGAATCATAAGGGACCAAATTAGTGACCAAGGTATTGCTAATAGCATGCTTTAGCCAATACATTTATTAATCCACATGGGAACACTGAATTAGTTGTAAGAATTTACAGTGAAAAAAGAAATCTCCCAGCAGAAGGACCGAAGCAGCATTTCCGGGAAGATGGCGGCACGCACGTCAGGTATGGCACATGTTTCAACGGAGAGGACCCCGCAATGACGTGAGAGTTTGAGGACAGACATTTTTTTCTCACCTTGAGTGTAACCCCAGAGGTCAAGAGTCATGGGATGAAGTTTGCTGAGGAGCAGCTGCTAAAGCATGGATGGACTCAAGGCAAAGGCCTGGGCTGGAAGGAGAATGACATGACCCAGGCCCTCAGGGTGACACTGAAGCAGGACACTCATGGGATGGGACATGACCCTGCCAAGGAGTTCACAAACCACTGGTTGAACGAGCTCTTCAACAAGACTGCAGCCAACTTGGTAGTGGAGACTGGACAGGATGGAGTACAGATAAGGCGCCTTCTACGGAGACCACCTGTCGTAATCCTCCCAAGCCCAACTTGCTGTATCAGAAGTTTGTGAAGATGGCTACCCTGACTTCAGATGGAGAGAAGCCAGACAAAAACATGGAAAGTTGCAGTGACGATGACAACCAGAGGCCCAACCCCCCAAAAATTCTGACGGATGAGATGCTGCTCCAAGCCTGTGAGGGGCCAATAGCACAGAAGGCTGCCCGTTTTGGGATTACGATGAAGGCCAAGCTTGCTCGGCTGGAGGCCCAGGAGCAGGCCTTCCTGGCTCATCTCAAAGGCCAAGACTCTCAGGCCTCTCAACCACAGTCAGAGAGCAAGCCCCCCAAAAAGAAGAAAAAGAAAAGGAAGCATAAAGAGGAGGAAGAGGCTACAGCATCTGAAAGGAATGCAGATGAGAAGCACCCAGAACACACTGACCAGAGCACCAGGAAAAGCAAGAAGAAGAAAAGGCAACATCAAGAACAAAAGGTCTCAGATAAGAAAGAGGGAACAACTGTAGGGAATGAGGAAGAAGAAGCTGCAGGAACAAGTGAGCTTAGGGAATTGAAGAGCAGAGAGCAAACCAATCAGTCCCCCAGGAAAAAGAAGAGAAAGAAGCAGCACCATGAAGAGGAGAAGATGGGAGTCTTGGATGAAGGAGGAAGAGGTAAGGAGGCTACAGGTGCTGTCAGGACAGAGGAGGTAGAGAGCACAGTGTACACCGACCCGTGCAGCAGAAGCAAGAAGAAACGGTACCATGAGAAGGATTTGAACTTAGAGGATGAAGAAGTTGGGGAAACTGTTTTGGACAGTGGGACCAGGGACACAGAGAACAGAGCATGCAGTGATAGAGGAAGGAGAAGCAAGAAGAAAACACGGCGACATCGAGAGGAGGAGGAAGTCGTCAATATAAAGGATGAAAGAGATGAGGGGGATGGCAGGACTAGGAAAGCAGAGAGCAGAGCACACACTGGCTCAAGCAGCAGAGGTAAGAAGAGGAGGAAACGGCAGTCAGAGGAAGAAAGCTGGAGTTGGCAATGACCAGAGAACCAAAAAGAAGAAACAGAGGAAGGGAGACTGAAGATCTGTCTGGTCAAGGTGGGGCTCACTTGATTCACCTTCAGGAGTCAAATCCTAAGAGACTTGGGTTGATGAAAGGTCTTCTGTGCTCCCCTAAATATGGAGTCCCTCCTAAGGAGGAAACTGAGCTCTGGAACATCAGTCTGCTGAGAGGAGAGAGTGTTGACACCATGCCTTAGTTGGAGTGGGCACGGTCCCCTCTGCAGCTTCTAGAGCCAGATGGCTAAGGGACAAGAAATGCTGGGGGCTGGGGGAACAGGAACAGAGATACTCTTTGAAGGGGCATCTCTGTTAAAAGAAGCTGAAAATGTAGACTTATGTGAAATCTGATTTTTAAATATTGTGAAGGCTAAGAAAAACAACAAATGTAAGCCTATGTGCTAGAGTCAGTCCACAGGTTGCCAGTTTCTAGCATGACCAAATGAATGAATAAACATTAAGTTGGGCTAAAAAAAAAAAAAGAAAGAAATTAGCTGGACAACTAAAAACATATATATAGAAAAAATTAGCCAGGCATGGTGGCGCATGCCTGTAGTCCCAGCTTCTCAGGAGGCTGAGGTAGGAGGATTGCTTGAGTCTAGGAGTTTGAGGTTGCTGTGAGCTAGGCTGATGCCACAGCACTCTAGCCCAGGCAACAGAGTGAGACTCTGTCTCAAAAAAAAAAAAAAAGAGAGAGAGAGAAATTTTATATTGTTCCATTTTATTTTTGGCTCATTTTATGTATCTTGTTTACAAGTTTCTGTTTCAGTTAAGAACTCATATTGTAGTGTCACATGGTTTAAAGAAATACTAATATTGTAAGACATACAATACTTATAATTTTGCTACCTACCTAGGATATCATGTCCTAAGGAGGCTGTCTTAGTAGTGATAATACATTATGTTGTCTAGGATTTTCTTCACGTCACCTGTTGTTTATGTGATAGGAGTCAACGAAGGAGATGATTGGAACAATTGCTTAAAGAATATGAATTCTGAGAAATCTCAAAAAAAGAAAATTCCATTAATTGTGTAATCATTGTTTTTAGATAGATTATTTTCCTAAAATGTTATTTATCTATTCAAAGTCAAGCTCTAACAAAAGATTACTTTTAAATAATGGATTAACATCATATTTAAAGATTTTCATGACCAACCAGAAAAGCAACACTGAAACTTAATGCACTAAAACACAGTTACTTGTATTTGCTTTATTATAATTCAGGGGACTCTTGTTTGAGAAAATAAAATGTCACAAGATTCAAAATATATCTTAATAAATTTTATATATAGTTAGAGCAGAGGTTAATTGAATCCCTTGTGTTATTAAGCAGAGCTTCCTGAAATATAAATAATTATGCAACATGTTACTGCCTTTCATGTTTTTAATATCACAATAAGTAACTCATAAAAAGTCAGTGCTTTTCATCTGCAAATGCTTTCTGAATATCAGTAACACTTTAAAATAATCAGTCATATAGGGATTATTCCTTAGTCCAACGACTTTGAACTTAAGTTTTTAAGGGAAAAAATCCTCTCATCTCTGGTAGTTTAGCTATAGAAAGAAAAATAATATTAGATATGTGTTAACTTCCTAAGCCAATTCATGACTAAGATTGAACTGAAGTTAGACATGTTATTCTTTTGATCTTAGCATATTCAAATAGAAAACATTTGACTGACTTCTAAAAGCTAGAATGGGTAATGCTGAATAGAAATAAGAAAAAAAAATGTATGAGAATTATTTTAGTTTCATTTATGACTAATTTAAGAACCATGTGTTCTTATTCTCCATATGATTACATTTTAAATCCTTACAATCTGTTCCTGAGGGATGATGCTTAACTAAAGGCAGTTTTGTGTAACAAATAGTCTGGTAAGATTTTTTCTTGGTTTCTTTAGCTTCCTTTTCCAGTGTTCTCTGAGTATATTAATGTCTTAAATGAAAAAATACGAAGATAGTATGAGAATTATTTTAATTTTATTCTGTTGTGGGTGTTGGATTTCTTTATCTCTCAATAGAGACAGATGTCACTGTGCTTTCCAAAAGACAGAGATGTCCAGCTGATAAATGTAGGAATTATTGCATGGCTATTTTTATAAAGTCAAAATGAGATTTTTATTGATATACAAGTAAACGGAAATATCTTTTACAACATAGTGAATTTACAGTGCAAAATTTTAATATTTTATAGACTTTACTGAGAATTAGAATACTTGTCCTAGAAGACCCCAGACTTCTTCCAGAACAATGATATGACTGCAGAATGGGAAGTTGGTAGGGGTCTGGAGAGGGAGAAGCTGCTAAAAAAAGAAGGAAAGAATGAGAACTATTAAATAAATAAATAAAAATTTAAAAACACCTGGTGCTCACAGACAAGCAGTCCTCTCTTTTTTTTAAGTATATGTGCTGCCGAAGTGAGCACTTTTTTTTCTCTTTAGAGATGGGGTCTCTCTCTTTGTTACCCAGGCTATATAGTACAGTGGCATGATCATAGCTCACTGCAGCCTGGAACTTCTGGGCTCAAACAATCCTCCTGCCTCAGCCTCCCTACTAGCTGGGACTACAATTGTGGGTGACCATGGCTGGCTAATTTTTTATTTTTAGAGACAGAGTCTCACTGTTTGGCCCAGGTTTCGAACTCTTGGGCTGAAGTGATCCTCCCACATAGCTGTGATTATGGTACTAGCCACTGCACACAGCCAAGTAGTCCTCTTACTATATTCCATCATGGAGACAGGAGTAGTCTCCAGTCTTTCTAGCAACCTTGTCTATTTATTTTAACCTTTTTATTCTGATCCATCCTTTTTACTTCATTGTCATTGCTGCCCTTACGAATTAGATTAACCCATTCCATCTGCATGAAAATATTTGTGGCTATAAAGAATCTTATTTGTTCTTGGGTTGACCATGGACACCACATCCTACTAGTGATACCTATGATTTCGAATTATTATTGACATGTTTCTAATGTTGTTTTTAAAAATACCTTTAGTTTTTCTAATAATGGCTAAAGCATTCTTTGTTTTTATTGAAAGTTTAATTTTTTAACACTGTCCCATCCTATCTACTCTATTCTTCTCCTCTTCCTCATATACGTCATTATTTTTCTTAGTATCCTTCTAGTAGTTCTTTATGTAAATGTAAGAAAAAAATGAATAAATGTTCTTATTTCTCCCTGGTTTTTACTCAAAAGATAGTCAACTATTACAATGATTTGCACCTTGTTATTTTTACTTAATTATCATCAAGCTGTTTCTGTAGTGGTACATAAAGAACTTGCTTGTTCTTTTTTTTTTTTTTTAATAGCTTTTTAGTATTCTATTGTGTAGATGATTTACTTAACCATTCCTCTACAGACAAATATATGGCTAACCAATGTGGTTTTTGTAATGTGTTTTTTAAACTCCTGTAGGTGGATGTGGACAAGAGTGAAGTGCGACTTATAGAACTGGATGAGTCTTTCAAAAGTGAACATACTGTTTTTGTAACACCACCTGAGATCCCCCATCTACCCAATGGTGAAGAACCCCCTTTACAGTACAGGTATTCAAGAGGCAGAATGTTTGAGATTGAAAAAGAGAAGTGATCCATCATCTGTGATGTAGCTTTCTAAGGACTGTGGTATTTTCAAAAATCCAAACTTTACAGATCCCTAATTTTTAGGTGGTAAGCAAGCTTATCCCACATCCATTATTAAGTTTTGAGGTATAAAAAGAAAAAATATATAATTTTGCATAATATAGACTTGGAAAGCTCTCTAATTATGTCTGCATAAGTATCTGTCCTCACAAACGTTAATTAAATGCAGTTAGACTCCCCACCTCAAATGCAGGACTTTTATTGTAGAATTCTGACCTTTGTTTCTCACTAAAGCTAGTTTCCTCACCTTCAGTCCCTCTTTTAATCCCATACACACATTGATTAATACAACCTTGATTTACAAAAAGATGAAATCTAATTTAGAGTAAATATTTGTGGCCTTAATTTGTATGGTATCATCTTTTAGGCTATTAATTTTGTCATGAGTTTTTATTTTTAAATCATAGAAATCCAGAATTATTAGAATTGATCACTGTTAATTTAGGAAATTTGGTTAGACACTGTGCTAAGTGCTTGGTATATAGACTTGAGTAATATACTGTCCCTGCCTTCAAGTCTAGTGGAGAATAGAAGAAAGTCTTGAGCACAGTAAAATAGGGCTATGATAGAGGTAGATTTATTCTTTAATCTTTAGTCTTTATTATTTATTTTTACTTAAAATTGTATTTTCTTTTAGAATTTAAATGTTTTTTAATTTTCCAATAATACTTTGCTACTTTGTTTAAAGATTCTAAAACCACTTTGCGTCTATTATTAATTGAGTCACAGTTCGTTATTTTCATTGAAAAGCATTTTTCAGGACATCTTCATATATGATTAGCATTAAATCCTTCATTTTACAGATGAAAAAAAGGTGTGATAGATGTTTGTGAATGTAGATTAATTCAGAGGCCATTTGATTTCTACTCTTTTCATCTAGTAATGATGTTCTTATATCACTTTTTAAAAATCTGTCTTTTGTCAAAGGTATTTCAAATATTTTCTCAATTTTTCTCTTCTTCTTTTTTCCTTTTCCTTTCCTTTTCTTTCCTTTCCTTTCCTTTCCTTTCCTTTCCTTTCCTTTCCTTTCTTTTTCCTTTCTTGTCCTTTCCTTCTTTCCTTCTCTTTCCTTTTCTTTCTTTCTTTCCTCTTTCTTTTCTCATCCTTTCCTCCTTCCTTTCCTCTCCTTTCCCCCTTCTCCTTTCCCTCCTTTTCCCTCCCTTTCCCTCCCCTCTCTCTCTCTCCCTCCCCTTCTCCCCTCCTCTCTCCT